AGGGGTTGTGGGTCACACACAAAGGAAGAAAGCATGTAAGTGAAAAATCCACCTCTTTCACTGGCTCGGCACTCATTTGACAGATTAAAACCTTTACTCCAGGTTGTCAAAACGGTAGTTTCTTCACTCAGCTCAGCTCTTTTTTTTGTTGAAAAGGCCAAAGTCTGAAAAATAAGTGGCCTAAAACCGGTGAGAAAACTAGATTTGGGGGTACCCTAGGTTGATCTCTATTATGATTCAGCCCCCCAGTCTGGAAGAAGTTCCCGCGCCACTGGCCTGGGCCCTCAAGAGCCGGTGGGAGCGCTAAAAAAATGGCGTGGGTGGGGTTCTGAGATAACTCCTGAGATAACACTAGAACCTGTTCACGCCTTCAGGCACCGGTGCGGGACCATCAGGCTCGCGCTGGGGCCCTCGAGAATCGGCTTGGGACACTCAAGCGCCAGGGCCGCATGGGCCCCCACAACGAACTGTGGGTGTGCAAAAATAGGTGTTTGCACACCCTCAGGATTTTCAGGGTGTGCAATTGCACACCCTGCCCCCCGGAATCCGCGGTCCCTGCCGCTGAAAGAGCCGTGGTCGATCGACGGGTTCTCTTGGAAGCTGTAGCGTGCAATTAGTGGCTATTGCTAGGGAACTGATGCTGAGGTTATGGATTGATTATGTATTGTTGATGTAAAGTTGATGTCCGCTTTCCGAGCTCGTAAATCTTGGAAACTTTCGGCTCCGGCCTCCGAGCTCTCCCGGGCCCGTAGGCGGAGCCAGCCCTGCCGGCCGGCTGCAGCTATTGGACGGTGGAGAGGCCCTGTGTGACGTCATATACTGATCGTGTGACGTCACCACGTGGCACCACCGAGCGAGCGGACGGGTGGCAGGAACGGCAGAGGCGCATCCAGGCACTAGATCCGGGGAGGTCACTAGGACGGAGCCCGTCTTCGCTAAATAACTGAATTAAAAGTGAGTCCTGTTTTGATCCTTTGGAGGGGTGTGACCTCTACGCTCGTCCGGGGTCCTATGTCGGGCCAGAGGTCGCTTTTTTACCGTTGATGAAAACCCGGCCTTGTCAGCGTATCTGTCTCTGTTATTCATCTGCTTTATGTCTGTAACCAGGCCTTATGATGTTTACGCGTTATACGGCCTCAACACGTCCTGTGGCCTGGACGGAAGGGCCGTGGTATGAGAGACATATGTCAGTTGTTAATGTAGGGAGACCGCCATTGACGCAAGTAACGGTCACGCGCAGACAAAGGTCAAGAAGTGGGGGTCACGCGTGCGTCGTTTGGGGAGGGGTATTGACTATTGGCGTGGTCTGATCGTGGCGTGATGGAAAGTCATAGTATCGCGAACGACTGTTTGTCGGCGACCTTGTTCCTGGACTGGGTCACATCACATTATATGTTGATAATACCGCTTTCGTCGAGTGGTTGGGGACAACGATTTTTCGTTACAGAATCGCATTCTCATGCGCACAGTATGATGAGATGCTGCAACATTGAGCATTCGCTTTGATCATTCTATTTGACGGCAGTTTTGTGTGATTCACTGAGCTGCTCTCCCTCGCAACACTAGTGGTCGGTGCGTTGTAAACAAGAATTTCTGAAGCCAATGACCCACCTTGTTGTTGGCCCGTGCCCGCATATTGCTCAATCCAGCTGTGTTCGTGACCTCTTCAGCGAAAACAACACCTCGCGGGCAATTCCGCCAAGTCAGCCTTCTTTTGAGGATAAGGCGCTCCTCGCCTGTTCTGGGACCAAGCCAAGACAAACGGTGCGAAGTTGTGGCTACCTTTCAGTATTCACACGTGTGGTGCAACCGATTACCCAGTACCACCGCGATGCAACGGTCGTTCAGGTGTTGATCTCATGACGTCATGAACCCGAATCTGGATCTGGAACGGGATGCCGGATGGCGATGAACATGATGTTTGTTGGTGCCAATCCGGCCAAAACTGCTCTGGCTTAGGGGCATGATTTTAACCGGGAAGCTGAGAACGGTTCCCCATAAGTCGTGAACTCAGGCTACAAAGGAAGGGAGAACCTGAAGGAAAAGCAATCAAATATGAAACTTGGAGTCACTTGCGGGGTTCCGCGTTGATCGTCCTCCAGGCCACTCGAACTTAACACGACTAAGTTGAACTCTGGAATTATTGATCGTCCAGTCATCGTTGGTTGTTCGGGCTGCTGAGATTGAGGCCTGGGAGGCTTGCTGCAGATTGCGGAAGGTGTCTTTTATTTGTAATCATGTCTTTTATTTGCCCTACCCTAGTCGTGTTTCGATGAGGCGGCTGGTTGCGCAGGAAAAACAAGACATCGTTTATGCGACTTGCCACCGTATATTGCGGGGCACGTTCTTCCTGTTTCGCTCAGGGCTACCAGCTCTTTCCTGCAATACTCTGTGCAGTCTCTTTGCAAGGATGGCTCTTAATCAAAACAGCCAACTAGCTACCTCAGGCTCGAACACAGCTTGTAACCTCACTCCGAATAGTGACCTACACGAGCCCCCGGGCGCTCCGAGGCCAGAACTGTCTCGGTCGAGTGCACCTACACCTAACCGGCTCGAGGCGGTTCAAACTGGACACAACTGCGCCACGGATCAGCCGGGGATGACGCTGGCCCCTAAGGTCGGGTGTGTCCTGGGTGGAGCACATGACAGCCCAAACGCTCGTGCCAGTCCAAGGGTCTATAGTTAATGGCAAAACATGTTTTGTATTTCTTAGGAATATCATTTTGCAATTTCGGGGGTACGGTTCTGTCGGTTCTGCCTCCTGCTTTGTGCTCATTTACTCTCCAGGTTTTCATTAATTACCTCATTGATCGGCCTCTTTTCATGACGATTGACGAACTAATGGCCCCCGGTAGCACTTAATTACTTCCCATCCTTGTCCTGTTTCCCGGTGAGATCGATCAGTGGCCAGACGCACTAGGTCAGCTGGGAGCACTTCTGCACTTGCCGCACATTTAGAAGAATCTTAGGTGAATGGATGCATCATCACTGTTGAGCACCCTTCACTGAGGACACGTGCACTTTGAGGGACTGGCGTTGGAGCCTCTTGCCGTGGTAAAAATAGCGGACAGGAGTCGGTCTCGGCTCCTGTCCGCTCGGTCTCTGCGGGGGCGAACGTTCCTTGGTGCCATTCCAGCTCTGTCCAGCGCCAGAACAGGGGCAGGGAGCGTTGACCTGACCTGGTGCCTGTGTAGTTGGGACGATGATTGATCAAGATGCAAAGATCCTTCGGAGTTACCACTGTGATAAACGGAATAGGTGCAAAAAGCCGGCTCTGGATCAGACGCTGTCTCTCTGGGGAGTGAGATTGAATGGTGCAGAACACATAGGCCTGGTTGCGGAAACTAGGTTGAAACTCGAGTTAGAATACGTCCGTAAGCGCTGCAACTCCATCCTGATCCTTCTTCAACAGAAGTGCTTCATTTCCTTTCGTACCAAACAACTTCGTAAGGGCGACACCGCTTTACTCTCAAGCAGTTGGTTACACTTACACCGCACTGTTCAGTGCTTTTTACATTCTGGTACATTTGGCGGAGCGAGCCCTTAGCAACTAAAATAAGCAGTATAAGTCGTTTACACTCAGCTGCAGCTTAGCGCAACTGCTTTGCTCCAAGAAAACTGTTCCGTTGCCTCTGCAAAGCGTCTGCCACTTGGGAGACGTTGCAGATACGGCTGGCGAGGGGCCCTGTGGGACCCTTGTCTCTGTTTATGGTGACCCTTTTACATTGCGGAGGGACTGTATGAATTCCGACCACACCAGTTCCGTGCTCCCCACGACTTCTCCACCATTACTCTAGTGCTGCTTGGGTGTCCTGTTTTTATTTTCTGGAAACTCTGAAATCACGAGTTGAGCACACCCGTCACAAAGGCGACTTCTCGAAAGGTCATTGGTTTCCTAACCTAAACACGGCCCAAGTTTCTCGGGCTGCGCCAGGCTGAGGCGCAATAAGAAGTTCCAGATAACCGGACGGAAGGCTGTTTCGACGTAGCTGGAGCTGACGTTGAATCCATTCCAGATTTAACCGGGAGAAGGTGGCTGACCATCGTCCACGAGATGATGGTGACACTTTCCTTTGAGTTGCACTTTCGTCGCATACCTATGCTGCATATTGCATAATCCGAACACGTCGCGTCCTGCCTGTATTTCGTTGCGCTTTCTTTCGCGGGATGGTTGATCCTCTAGAGCGCCTACGTCTCTGTAGAATCGGGAGTGAACGCATGAGTTGCAGCCTGTGGACGAGATCGTCACGGCGTGAAGCCAACACATCAAGGGGCGCTCACACAGGTTTACAGGTCACGCGCTGTGCCAGGACTCTCGTTGTCACTCGTCCGACACATGGTGCTGGCGACCCGCCAAGGACACATGGCGCAGAATGGTGCGTGGTTGGACACGAGCTGTTCATGTGTCACGTGTGGTATCACGTGTCGTGGCGCAGATAATTTCTCTCGAAACTTCCACCTCAGTCATGCGGGTAGTTGGGTCCTGCACTGCAACCGCATAAGTTTTCATGTTAGACATCAACATTTGACGTCAAATGATGTGGCCTGACGTCAGCATGGTGGCCTGATTGGTAAATGGTTAACGTCACGTATACCAATTGCAGACCGTCACATGCTGGCGTCGCTCCTTTTAGCCGCAGCAATTGGTTTCGAATTTCGACAGCTCCTTGCGTTATATAGTGTATGCTCGTAAAGCGTAATGTTTTACAGTAAACTTTGACGTCTTTGGATATTTATAGGGTGATCTTTTCGTAAGTTGTGGACCGGCAGATTCTGGTTCGTAAAAGGTTCCAGAAGCACCACATGTGACTCTCTTGGCAATGTGGAAACTAAATATTTTCAGCGTCTGCGCCACATTGCCACATCGCATTGCCACACTGACTTGAGCGTATGGTTAGGCCATTCTTAGTCGTTGTATCTTTTGCTCGTTGCAATGTCTGTTGGTAAAAGCTCTTCATTATGAACCGCCCGCTGACCCGTCGTCTTTCCTGTCTTCCCAGGAGGGCGGATCGCGTGCCTTCTTTTACGGGCTGGCGCCGCGCGTGCTGCGACGTACCTTCATGGCAGCCATGGCCTGGACGGTGTACGAGCGCGTCTCCAAGACCTTCTGAGCGGCCGGACCCCCGCGAGGTCAACTGGCCGGCGGAGACACGTCCAACCAACCGAACCGTCAATTCCTACAGGCTTTCACGGTGACATCCAATGAGATTACTCGTCTCTGGGAGTCTTAGCTGAGACGACCAATGAGAGGCGCCGGGTCAAGGTCACCTCCGGACGCCGGCCAATCAAAACGGGTGGGGCACGTGCAACAACCAATCGCGTAGTCGGCCAGGCGGGCGAGTAGCCAATGGGATTTCGGCGATCCTGAGCTTCAGCCAATCAAAGCCCGCTTTGTCCTGAGAAGGGACTGAGGAAGCTGAGCTCTAAAGAAAAGCTGCTGGAAGAGAACCGGAACGGGAAGCTGTCTAGAAGCCTCCAACGACGGCCCGAGAGAAGGTGCAGCGTGCGGGCATCGTCCCTTCAGTGAAGTGCTGGATCCAGGACAGGCCACGGAAGGACGGTACGTGGAGTGGAAGCATGCGGCTGGACCGAACGGTAGAGTGCGGTGGAGAGTGGACTAGAGTGAACGGCAGTGCAGTGGAGTGCGGGGACTATCATGGCAGTCGCTCTACCGAAGCCGGTAGAGCTGAACGATCGCTGCTGCCTCCCTAAACCTGCAGAAACAGACAGTGACGAGCCGGAAGACGGCGTTCGTAAAGTGCTGTGAAGGAGATTGAGGGAATGGGACTGGAGCAGTGGCAATACGCGGACTCGCTGGGTGCCGCGCTGTTTTTTTTTTTTCGTGTACGGTTTGGTTCTGTCGGAATGCGCTATGTTCCGGCTTTTCCTTGCTTGTGTTACGTGCGCCCGCGCTGTCGGTACTTAATCACCGAAGGTGTGGATCTGTGAAGGAGGCGACGGGCGTAAGCCGCGATTCTTGCAACGGCAGGTAGGTATTCCCTGCATTGCGAACAGCGAGAATGAGCGGCCTGTCCCCTGCGGTTGAAGTGTGTGTTTGCGAGGATTCCGGGCGAATGCGTCAGCCAGAAATTTGACCCATCTTACGCTGAAATGCATCTTTCAATGATTTTTGCATTTGCTGACCTTCCTCATTTGAGAAAAGTACAAAATATGTCCAGTTCGGCCGGGATCCTACGTAGCGCTAATGTTAATCCAAGACGGCGGCGGCGGCGGCCCGCAAAGCTGTAGTTGTGTATCTGGCCGCTTGAGGGCAGCACGTTGCGCTCGCCGCCCCTTCTGCTGTGTTTAGCTACCCAGCCATGAGGAGGAGGCGAAAGGACAGGCTCGTCACTGGCGATGGCCCGGCGGGGACTGATGCCCGCCCGCGGTTTTACTCTGCTGTAGAGTCAATACACTGGTTCTACAGTGCTTGTTGTATGCGGGGTAGCCGGTTGAATTTATTTACTTTTATTCATTTAGGCGACATACACTCTCATCGTATCTATTTAGTCTTATATATGTTGCAGGCACTTTAGAAAATCAGTCATTTTGTAAAATGCCTAGGCATTTTACAAAAAGACGGCTGTTTGAAAAATGACTGAACACAACCAGGTTTTTTCAAAATGGCTAGCCATTTTACAAAATGACCAGGCATTTTGCAAAATGCCTGACCAGCATGGAACGTAGATCCCACTACAGATACTATGGCCAACAGTTTTTGGACGTCTTCCTATACACTAGAGGTACGTGTTCAGCCTGTAGCTGATCGATTTGAAGCTCTGTGATGACGACAATGCTGAGTAACGACCAGGTTGAGTTGCAGACTCGGCTGTAGCATAGGAGCATTGTTTAGTTAACGCTGTAAAAACTCCCAAGTACATCAACGCCGTTCACGTTCTGCCTGAAACTAGACCTAACAAAACCAGCCGGAGACCGGCCCTATGTAATAGGCAGGCCCGGTTCATGTACAATTACATGTAAACGAATGAGTGTAGTCTTTGTTTGATTGTGTCTTTGTTTGACAGCTTTGAGTACCTACTTGCATGGTCCCAGTTAAAAATATCAAGCTCCACATCGGGAGAATCATCAGGTCGCTTGGCGTAGGACGAGAGCGTTGGTTTCAGAAGACACTAACGCCTAAGTGTGTGGGATCGAATCCTCGCGACCTCTAATGGTTTTACAGATACAGGCCGGCATAGGGCCAGTCGTTTGTTGACGCTCCAGATCGATCATTTTAAATCCAGCAGCGTCGCTGACGTGGGGGTTGGAAATGTCGCGGGCCTGCACTTCTCAAAATAGAGGTAGGTATGGACTTCCCACTGCTGGACTCCTCTGGTCATAATGCTGGACTCCTCGGTCCACCTACACGCTACCAAAACGTATATAATTAGGTACTCGTATCTACAACACGCTGCTCAGTCATTTTGTAAAATGGCTAGGTATTTTGCAAGAGTCAGTCATTTTGTAAAATGCCTAGGCTTTTTGCAAAAAGCCTGGAAAATCAGGCATTTTGCAAAATGCCTAGGCATTTTACAAAATGACTGATTTTCTAAAGTGCCTGCAACATATAGACGACATCCACTATCATAGTAGCTATTCAGTCGAGAACTCGAGACATGACCTTAAATGGACATAACAAAGATATAAATTCAATGCTCGCCGGCCGAGATCGGGCGCCGCCCTCACCCACTCAGACCCTCTGGCGCTTTTTTGCGATTGCTCGGAACACGCTAATAAAAGGAAGGGGTGAATGTTCGCACACTTGAGCTATGATTCAAGCCGGATCTTGTGAAACCAATTGCATTTTCAGATCAGGCCATTAAGGCACTGACTAGTGACTAGTGATGTCAATTACAGAAAATCGGAATACCGATACCAACCCAAATACCAACCAAAACCATGGGGAAATACCGAAACCAAACCAACTTGGAAACATGAGGGAAATACTAACTTTTTACCAATTTTTCAGCCTCTTATACACTAGTGAGGGCTCATGTTACCAACAAAATACCAAACACATTAGGATTTAAATACCAAATACCAAGTTGGTATCGGTTTGATATCGGTATATACCAAAAAGTTGGTATCCGATTGACATCTCTTGTACTGACCTGAAATCAGCACCTTAAGTTGATCTCACCCAAACAAAAAGTATACCTATAATTCGGTGCCCCTGAGTATGAAGAACACGATGGTGCCAAAAACGCGGCACTGCGGCAATTTATGGCCTATATATCCACCTTTAATCAAACCAGTGCCTGGGAACCTTGACCTGACCGAGGTTCCGGTTGATTTGAGACCTTAACCCTCGCATGTGTAGGGGGGGTCGGATGGACCCCCCCCATGGTTTTTCGCGAATAACTCGCGTAAAAAGCGTCCGACCGCAACGAAACTTTCGGTACCCTCGCATTGATCAATTTTACACCTACCCTGAAAATTTCATGGCCCTGACCCAAATGACCTTTGACCTGTGACCTCTTTTCCGAGACCATGTTTGGCCGGAATCGCGATTTCGCGTATGTCGGCTCGCATTAGCCGCGCGTTTGCAAGCTTTTCGTGGTTTCAAACGTTCAAACATGTGATTTGTTGTTGCTCCCATACATTAGGGTGGGTGTCAAGGTCACCTAAAGGTCAGGTCAGGTCATTGACCTTTGGTGACCTCGGGTGACCTCAGTTCACTTTTTCGAGTTTTACATGTTTCTAGGCTAGTTTTTGGAGCTGAATTCGAATTTAGCAACCATTTGAACATTTACGAAGTAGTTTTGGTGACTTCGTAACATGTTACGAAGCTGTCAGAGGCGGTTGACACGTACTACGAATACCCGTCACGACGCCTACTGGTTGACCTGACCTGACCTGACCCGACCTGGTCTAAATGCTTAAAGACATCATCTGTGATCAAAACTAACACGATATTCGTGATCAGCACCCCGAAAAAAACTCTTAGCAGCCACACTTTACGACTTTCTAACAGGTCCGATTTTCCCGACTTTGGGTCATTGACCTGACCTGGAAGGTCACTCGATGACCTAGGACCTTAAAATTGGGTATCATCGGCTTCCTCTCGTCACGAGCAACACGCTCGTTTTTTTCCGCGAAGCTCTAGCTCGATCAGGGGCCAAACGGCAAGGGGGGGGGGGTCCAACCCCTTGCCCCTACACATTAGAAGCTGGCAAACGCCGCACACATGCGAGGGTTTTAAAATCGGGTATGGGTCGCTGCATTTCCTAACGGCGCACGCGTTCGGCTCTTGCGAGACTCTAGCTCAATTAGGAGCGAAACGGTGAGGGGTATCCCTCGACCGTAGCGTGTAGAGAAAACCAGTGAAAGTCGCAAAATAGTTGTTCAGTGTTGGACGATCATTCGAAATGCGACCGTCATAGTGGAAACGCCATAACCTACGCAGGAGGAGTGAGCGGAAGTAAGTGCAGAAGCAGTGCGTGCGTACTGCCATTCATTGGGCCCATGACACATTCCGCAAAAATGCGATCACCAACGATTGCCAATGTTGAAAAAGCTTTTCAGACGCACGGCAACAGTCACTAGGCACTCATGGCTTCATTTAAGTCTGACAACTCTTCATTTTGTGTCTATTGAAACAGACTTCGGGGCCAGTCGCTGAATGGATATTTGAAAGCGCTTCTGTATTGAAAAATAAGCTTTACATTTCGTTTGGATTTGTACGGTATGTGGACGGAGGGGTGGGGTGTTTTGGGGTCACGGAAGATTGATGTTTGACCGAACGGGCCATCTAGGGACATTTGCACCGCAGTTGATAGTGCTCGGTGCAAGAACCCGTGATTTGGGGTGTGTCTGGACGTTCGATAAACAAACACCCCAAGTCCGCCCCACCCCCCACCCCCGACCCAGCCGGGGCGGGGTGCCAGGCACAGGGTGGTGCGGTGGACCTGTCCTAGGCTAGGTTCATCAGTGCAAAGGCGGCTCCAGGACGACCATTACGGCAATTTCATGACTCGCTCACTCAAAAGTATTTTTCTTTTGCGCTTCATTCCCGATGCACGCACATACGCTAATGAACACAAATATCAAACAGAATATAACAATATAATTGAAAACGGTTTGGGATGAAATTATTTACGTTTTGCTGGGCTGACCTGATATGACCTTTGGTGACCCTTGGGGAAAAGGCTATTGACAGACTATGTCAACGTATTTAGGTGTTGTTTTTATCCGCTGGGACTGAGAGCGTGAGATGATGTTTTTCGTACTCCAGCGTAGATGGGTAGCCATACGGCTGCCACGGTTGACAGTGATGACATCAGTCATCTTTTCCGGGGTTCGAATCCCCGTATAGCCCAAATCTTTAACGAACTTGCAAAAGATGAATGATGTCATCACTGTCAACCGTGGCAGCCGTATGGCTACCCATCTACGCTGGAGTACGAAAAACATCATTTTATGTCAACGTATGTAGAACACTGATGTATCCGGCTAGGGTTAATGCATTAAGGTCGCCTAGCCCTGTTTACTTTCTTTATAAACATCCCACATTCTCTTCGCCTGGAGCCGTGTGTCTGAAGATATCCCTGCAACATTTCACACAAAGAGCACAAGGTTCATTTAGGAAGCATCAAGCCGCAGGGTGTTTCCGATTAATTAGGATAAAACACTGCAGGAGATAGTTGTTTACAGTTATTGCAGGTCCAGATGGCTTACTTAATGCGTAGTTTGACTCGACGTCGACTCTGTTCACTCGCTGAAGTGATGCACACATTGCACAATGCGCACACTTTGCGTGACAGACGACTGACTGTTCTCGAGTCAGAAATATAATAAGTAATCAAATAACTCGCACTAGTGTTTAACTGTTGTATTACCTCAAGATTAAAAACAATTGGCTCAAAGCAGCCATAAGTTTTATAAATTGCGCTATGCATAGCATTATCGATATAAGTGACTCCGTATGAACTAATACGGGAAACAGTACATAACGTCGAATGCAGCGACTGGTGCTCAGTTGGTTACCTTGTAGGTATCCCTGATTCCAGTTCACTGCCTTGTGCGAAAATTGCCCAATCATTGGCATGGACCAGTATTTCTATTTTCTCTGCTTGAGTACCTAATTACCTTCGCATATGGTATAGGCGTAATCCTTTAACCCTCTTTTATTCCAATAAAAGTTTTCATTTTCTTCATAAGCACCACACAGCATCTTGAGATCAAGTGACCCACGCACTTCACCGCCTGGCACTTCTAATGTTTATTTAATTGTCACGATATTCATCCCGCCGTGAGGTGGGAGTGTGTAGATGGGTAGAGTGGAGGAGCGTCGGTAGAGCCCGGGAGCCGGGTCGGCGGGGGTCGAGGACGCTGACCTTGGGCCGACCCCGGGCGGCCAGTCGTGTCTGGGCGGGTCAAAGGTCAACGAAACACGCTACCGCCGAGCAGGGGAAAAGAACGCCGTGTCT